GATAGGGGTTGCCTTCGATTCTCTTGTTCTTCTTCTGATTCTTCATCACTATCCTTGCTTTGCAGGATGGGATTCTGATGATTCATTGGTATGGCAGAGTTAGTCAGCAACTCTGGTGTATTCGTCTCTGGTGGATCCAGTTCTGGAGATTCTTTGAGATTCGCTTTTTCCAAGTTTTCAGTTATGCTCTCAACAGAGTTGAGATCATCAAACTTGACATGAATCGATTCTTCAACAAGTAAAGTTCTCTTGTTGAGTATTCTGTAGGCTTTGCTGGTGCCAGAGTAGCCTAAGAATGTTCCTTCATCAGCTTTTTCTTGAAACACCTTGAGGTGATCCTTCCCATTGTTGAGTATATAGCATTTGCATCCAAATGCATGAAAGTAGCTGATGTTGGGTTTTCGTCCTTTCCATAATTCATAAGGAGTTTTCTGATGAGTCTTGTGAATCATGCTCCTGTTCTGGGTGTAGCATGCAATATTGATTGCTTCAGCCCAGTATCTGTAGGGTAGACCTGATTCTGCAATCATGGTCCTTGCAGCTTCCTTTAATGTTCTATTTCTTCTTTCTGCAACTCCATTCTGTTGAGGAGTTCTGGCTGCAGAGAGTTGATGCATTGTACCATTCTGGTCACAGAAATCCTGTATGACCTTGTTGACGAACTCTGTTCCTCTGTCTGATCTGATGGCTTTGACTTTCTGATTCTGCTCATTCTGTAACAGCTTTAGCAGAGATGGCAGTTTCTGCAGGGTTTCATTTTTCTTGGTCAGAAAGATAGTCCATGTGAATCTGGAGTAGTCATCCACCATGACTAAGGTGTATCTCTTGCCACCAACACTTGGAGTTTCCACTGGTCCAAATAAATCCATGTGGATCAGATTCAAGGGACCAGTAGATAAGTTTCCAGCAATGGGTCTGAAGGAATTCTTCACTTGTTTACCTTTCTGACATGCACTGCATAGATTCTCCTTTTTGTATACAAGGTTGGGTAGACCTTCAACAATGTGATCCCTTGCCAGTTTGTTGATTGTTTTGAAATTCAAGCGACTCAGTTTCTTGTGCCATTCCCAACTGAGTTTTGAATCTCCTTTGGCTATCAGGCAAATTCCATCTTTTGCAGTTGACCAATCAACCACATAGATGTTTTTCTTTCTTGTTGCTGTTAGAACCACTTCTTTAGTTGTCTCATGCTTGACAAAACATCCTTCCTTGGAGAATTCAACTGTGTAGCCTTTGTCACAGAATTGGCTAGCACTCAGTAAGTTGAATTTCAATCCCTTGACATAAGAGATATCATCAATGATTATCTGGTTCTTTATCAGCTTCCCTCTTCCTTTTGTCTGGCCATCTTTATCATTACCTCCAAAGGTAACTCTGGGCCCTTTGACTTTCTGGAACTCTGTTAGGCAACTCTTGTCACCTGTCATGTGCCTGGAGCATCCACTATCAATGTACCAATCTTGCTCAGAGATGGCTCCAGCACACAGTTCCTACAAAATTAAAAGGAAGATTTAGGTACCCAAGCAATGTTGGGTTGTAGGGGGTTATGCAGTCTTGGCAGCCGGTACCACTTTGGTCTCATCAAGTGAAACCTTGGTGGGTGGTACCCATTGTCCACCTGGTAGTCATAGTAAACGGAAGTGTGATTCACTTTGGGCAGATGTTTGTGAGGATCATGCTTCCGGTTTACATACTTCTGCATAGCCTTTTTAGTTGGGTAGAAGTCCCATATACTATCAAGATCAGAGGAGCGATTAACTTTGGGCTTCTTAAGTTGACCAGCCAACCTTTTCTGCCTAAAGTTAATTTTCTCTTGATATCTGCCTTTCTGGTGATCATCTCTGACACGATTATCATGAGTTTGTCTGTTATGGTTCTGTCTTTGATTTTTGGTATTCTGAAAATCTTTCCTGTTGTTAGTTCTTCTGCCAGGTTCATTAACTTTTAAAATGGGTTTCTGTTGAACCTTTATCTTTTCCCTTTCTGGTCTGACATTCTCATGAATAACCTTGGTGCCAGATACACCAGCCTGACAAATGGGCCTAGAAATCAGTGGCACTATGACCTTGTCTGCCTTAGCAACTCTGGTGCTAGGCATTACAGAAGGCTCACCTGATTCTGTTGAGCCATAACCAAGACCAAAACCAGTGCCAATTTGTTGGTCAAGTACAATCTTTTCCATTGAAGACTGGGCCTTCTGGTAAGCTTTGTACTTAATCTCAAGAGGCTCTATCTCTCTTATTTTCTTTAGAAGAGAAACATTTTCAGCTTCCAGCTGATCTCTTTCCTCAATCAGAAGATTGATTTTGATCTCAACCTCCTTTCTTAAGTCAAGGATCTCAGCCTTAAGCTTACTGTTTTCTTCTTTAACAGAAGAATAAGTGGTTTGTATGGCTTGAAACTCTTCCCAAAATTCTGACATTGAATCAGAATCAAAGGCTCTGCCTACCGAAGAAAAACTAGAGTTGGAAGTGGAAGATACCTCATCATCAGATTGACCCATAAGACATAGGTCTTCAGTTTCTGTGTCCAGGCAACAGAATGCTTCATCAGATTCTGATTCCGAGCTGGACTCTGTCTCAGAGAGGGGGTCCTTCTCTGGTTGTTCAGTGATGAGTGCTTTCCTTCTTTGGTGCTCGTACTTCTTTTCTCCTTCCTGGCCTTGCCTTTTGGAGACTATGGGGTGTGGACAATTGACTTTGAAGTGCCCTGGCTGTCTGCAGTTGTAGCAGAGAAGCTCTCCACTACTTTCTGATGGTTTGGACTTCTGGTGTGGCTTTCTGCTAGAGTGTGGACTTCTGCTATCCTTTGGCTTCAGAAATTTCCTGAACTTCCTAGCAAAAGCCGCCATATATTCGTCAGTTAAAAGAATAGAAGGGTCAAAATTATTTATCTGAGAGGTGCTGGCAGTGAGGGCAGTAGTTGTTCTGTCCTCAACTTCTTCTTTCTCTTCTTCATTCATCTCAAACTCATAAGACTTGAGATCAGAGATGAGTTTCTCAGTGCTGTAGGTTCTGAGGTCCTTGCTATCTCTCATGGCAGTGACCTTCATCTTCCATGGTGAAGGTAAACCTCTGAGAACCTTCAGATTAATCTCCTTGGGAGTAAGCTCCTTCCCAAGTTCTGATATCTCAGCAGTGAGGGTGAGCAAGCGTGCATACATCTCAGCTATGCATTCTTTGGGTAGAAGTTTGAAATCTTCAAACTTCTTCATGGCAATAGTAAGTTTGTTGTCCTTTTCTTGCTCATCTCCAGCTCCTATCAGGGTGAGAGTATCCCAGATTTCCTTGGCAGATTTGCACTTCTTGATCCTGGTGAAGTACTTGTCATCAATGGCCTTGTAGAGGATATCCTTGGCAATGTTGTCAAGGTTGTACTTTCTCCTTTCTTCATTAGACCATTCATGGCGCAGTTTGGTGATCATCTGGGGTTGACCACTACCAGTGATGTATTCAGGGTTGACCTTGGTGAACTCTGTGAAAGGTCCTGCATCAAGAACTTCCCACATTTCGTCATGGAGTGCGCAGAGGTGAGCTTTCATGCGGATCCTCCAGTCATCAAACTTTGTTACTGAGAACATAAGATTCTTTGAAAGAGTGTTATCCATAATATGAGATTAAAGAGGCTAAAACAAGTGGATCTCTTGTTTAGTAAGTAACCTAAAAGATTACAAGAACAAGGAGGCTCTGATACCACTTGTTGGTCCCGTTTGTAATGGGAACAGTCTAGAGGGGGGGGGTGAATAGACTGTTCAGGAATTTAAACTTTTCTCCAAGTCAAGTCTGACTTAACAGAGATGGTCGAAATCTGGTGACAGAGATGGTCAAGTTCTGATGGCAGAACTAGACCAGGCAGCGGATAAGTTTCTGTCCGGGTAGCCTCTAGAAGAAAGCTAAGGCAAAATGCCTTTCTGATAACTCTGAAGGAAGATCTGCTGGACACAGATTCCAACCTAAAGAGTTAGTCAGTAGAATCTTAAGTGCAGAAAGTAAAAGCTGAAAGTAAATGACACCGGGGTTTTTATAGTGGTTCAAGGAACAACTCGTTCCTCTAGTCCACTGTTCCACTAAGCTTGCAAAAACGACAGTTTACAACGCCTTAGTCCCTAGAACTTAAGAAGCACTCCTCGTCTTCTTCAAGTCTAGTTGCCACCCGGGATGCAGTCCTGCTTCCTGATGGCTGGTCTCGTTTCACTGAGTCTCTTGAAGTATCTCCACTTCACTTACTCCAGCTAATTTGAGATGTCCCTTCTTTTTCAAGAAGTGTTTGATATAGAATCAGTTTTTTCCAACGTTGCTTCTTCACAAAAGATGAGTATATGAAGCTCTCGAAGTGTTGAAGAACTGAGTAACTTTGCCTTTGCTAGTTGGATGAAGGATAGGAATGTTTATCTTCCAACTGTGGCCTTTTTCTTGTTAGAAATGGAGTTTTGATCTCAAGAAAGTTGTTCACGCAAATCTATCTTGGCAAAGGTTATGGCAAAGTTATCTTCTTTGTTCTTCAGAGTGTATCTTATATACTGGGAGCGGTCTTCCCGTTGGAGTGTAGAAGACAACTTCATTAAATGCATGTACTGTTGACTTGACCGTTTGGTCCTCCGACTTGCTAGTTTGGGGGCGTAAAGATATTCGCATTGTCAATCATCAGCTTTAAATATCTCTTCGTACGTATAGCATTAAATGTGCATTTAATGCGTGTACAGTGCCATGCTTCCGTTGAAAGGTTCGTAACCGTTAGGGGATTTCCCGTTAGTTTAACGACCGTTGGAAGGGCTTCCGGATTCTGATGATACTTAGCAGAGTCTCAAGAGGTTCTCTGATCCAGTCTCTGAAGTCCGTCTCTGGTGCCAACTCTGGTCTATTTCTGCTAACCAGTTTCTGATGGCTTCTCTGGTGAGCAACTCTGGGAGCAACTCTGGTAGAGGCAGGATGGAGCTCTGGCAGGCAGACTAAGCTAAAACTTACAAAAGAAATTCTAATACATAATTTCTAATGGGGTACTTTCAAATTCTAATTAACTTAGCATCATCAAAATCTAAATACATTTATTCCTTACAGGCTTACCTGAGGAAGCTTGGGGACGTGAATATCTACGAGGGCGGCATGGACCTCCTCGTCCAAGTAAGTTCTCTACCTTGTAGTGTGTACTTTTCTCGTCGTCCGTGTAGAGTCGTTTGCCTGATTTTTGTTTTCCTTTTTTCTGCAGAGTGCCTTTATGCTCATGGAGAGCCATAAGAGGCAATACCGGGAGATAGCTCGCTTGAAAGAGCTGGAGCAGAAGGCTGCCTCGGCCGACGAGGCAGTAGCTTGCCTGGATCGGCTCCGGGAGGATGCCAAGGCTTTGAAGCAAAGGGCTGATGAAGCCGCTGCAGCCAGGGACGATGCCCTGGCCAAGCTCGAGGAGAGCAAAAGGGAGCTTGTGGCCGAGCGGCTCAAGAATGAAGAAGCCGTGAAGGCGAAAGCTGAGGCCGAGGCCGCCGCTGTTAAGGCTGCTGATGAGGCCGTTGAGCGGTTCCTGGCTGAGGGGTGGAAGGCCGATGAGAGGCTCCCCTGGTGCTACGAAGTGGTTGCCGCCAGGCTTGAAGATTGGGGGATGAACTCCCCCGCCGGCCAGGAGTACTTCAGTAGGGAGATGGCCGTCTATTACAACATGGGCCAGGAGCGGATGCAGAGGCTCCTGTGTCGGCGGCTGTCCCGTGCTCTGAAGGCCATGAACTACACGTCCGGGTGGGCCAGACGGAACCTGAAGCTGCCAAAGATGATGAAGGATCCAGAAGAGCAGGCCAAGCTTCCTCTTTCGGAGCGTGAGTCTCCTATTGAAAGCTCCGGCCTCGGCGAGCCGGATTACACCGAATTTGATTTTCTGGACGACGCCACCAGTGCTGCACCCGCCGACGGCCAGGAGACTGAGGCCGAGGAGGGAGCTGACGAGGTCGAAGAGCCAGCCACGGATGGAGGTGCCCCAGAGGCTTGATCGGCTACTCCCTGCTCCTTTGTAATTTGCTTTTCATTTCTTTGTCTAACTGATGTAATGGCCGAAGCGCCCCCAATTGTAATGAATTGATTAAATGAAAGAATTTTTGCCGTCCTTCTTGGCTTTGAATCCATTGTATGCTTGTTTGCCATTTGTCATTTCAATTCTAAAATTTGTCCAAGTGTCAAGGTCACAACTTGGGTCACCCGCGATGGTCCGCTACGTCCATGGGGTAGTCCACCCTGTCCGGTGGCCTGCTCGGCTTGTTCGTCGTTGCTTAACTATCATAACACTTAGGATTTTTTCCAAAAATTTCCTAAGTGTTTTGGATTCTTGTAGTTGCTTCCCTTTCGGCTTGGTGGCCTTGTCGGCCTGATCGGTGTTGATGCAGTATCATAACACTTAGTTTTTTGGATCCACGAAGTTGCTTTCTTTCCGGCCTGGTGGCTTCGTCGGCCTGGCCGGTGTTTCGTTGCTATCATAACACTTAGGAATTTTTTTCAAAAATTTTCTGAGTGTTTTGGGATCCACTTGGGTGCTTTCCTTTCGGCCTTGACCGTGGTGTCCGCTCCGGCCTGGCGCTGAGTCTCTCCCCATTATTAGCAGATGGTTTGGGTGATTTGCCAAGTGTTGAACTAGTGTCGTTGTTGGCCTGCATTCCTGTGTTGTGGCCGATAAGGGCACCTTCACCTTAGTCTTTTGGACTTTGAATTTGTCCTAAGTACATATGCAAGGCGTAGGTACCTAACGGCCTTGGAATATATATGTACCCGCTTCGTCTAGAGTTCTTCCACTTGAGTACTTGGAGAATTTTCCAAGTATAGATGTTAGGCATTTACTTCTTTGCGGTACCGCTGTCGGCCAAGGTCTGGCTTGTGGCCGATGAGGGTGCTGGATAAGGAATGGCTTTCCAAGGAGATGGTCCTACCTTCGTCGGCCAGCCATGGTTCCTTGTTGAGGAACCCTCTTTTTTTTCCTTCTCAGGATTTTTTCTAAGTGTCTGGTAAACACTTGAACCAATTCCCAGAGAACTTTCGCTTGACCAACAGCCTTGGTGCCAGTGCCTGTATCGGCTATCCTGGGTGCTGTGGCAAGTAAGGATTGTTTCCTGATTGCTTGATTCTTCCGCGGGTGTATGCAGTGCCCGCTTCGTCCTGGTCATCCTTAGGATTGTGATTCTTTGTTTCATACCAAGCGTTGGTGCTTCAAAGGACTGTGGCCGATGAAGGTCACCTCTCGCGTGTCACCCAACCGATGCGGTTAGGGTTTTATAGGCGTGTGTGTCGGCTTTGATCATTCCCTTGTAGTGCGTGAACGTGTCGTCCATGTTACCTGTTTGTGGTACTACACTTGTGTTCAACTGATATGTACTTGGCCACATTGGGCCTGATTTGTGGGGATTTTATTTTTCTTTGCTCGAGGCTGGCCTGTGTACACGGCCGTCGGCTTCCCTCTTTTTCCCTTATATTATATATATATATATATATATATATATATATATTTTTTTTTCTCGGGGGTATCCTTCTTTCAGGCTTCGGCCGAAGGGTGTGCTCGTCCTTCAGCCGGTTCGGACTTCGTTTATAACGTCCGTGATCTCAGGGCGGGTCCCGTCGCCTATTTATGACGCGGGCTAGACTTTTGGTCGGTTTCCAACGGCTGTCGTTGCCCATCCCTGAGTTTTGGGATTTTGTCACCTCGGCCATGATTTCAGGCCTGTCGTCCCGCGATCTGGCGCGTGGACGACGCGGTGAGCTTCCCATTTCATGACGTGGGCCGTTTGCGGGCCCCTCGTCCTGGGGACATCGTCGGCCATACCTGAGCGTTTCACTTCTAGGCTTACAGGGCCAGGACGATGTGCTCTCTCAGCTAGGCCTGAGCCCTTCGCTGATACAAAATACAATGGAGCGCCTGAGCTTGTTGCTCGTAGGCTTCAAATGCAAGGGGCCTCGTCGGCCATGCCTGAGCCTTTTGCTCTAAGGTGGCCGACGGGGGCACCTGCTAATGTTTTACTTTAAATTCCAGAGAAAAAAATCAGAACATGATTTTATTCATAAGTGGCTCGAGGCCGAGGGTGGCGTTCAATCAGTAACCCGTCAAGGGGTGAGGGCTTCGCCGTCTGCACCTCCTTCGGATCACTGATAAAACTTCACCAGATGGTGTACATTCCACGTTCGTGGTACATTGGACCCATTTGGGCGTTTAAGCTTGTAGGTGTCGGGTTTGACCACGGCACTAACGATGTAGGGCCCTTCGTACTTCAATGCTAGCTTGCCACCCTCTGTCGGCTGGCTTGCTTCCCTTCGGCGGAGGACGTAGTCCCCCACCTGAAATTCCCGGGAACGTACCTTGGCGTCATAGTATGATTTTACTTGACGCCGGTAGTTCTCTGCTCGGACGTAAGCTTGCTCACGTCTCTCATCAACCAGGTGTAGGTCAATCTTCATGTTCTCTTCGTTGGTGTCAGGCTCATATTGTTCCACCCGCCGGCTGGGGATGGCAACTTCCGTGGGCGCCTTTGCTTCAAAGCCGTAGCATAGGGCGAAAGGCGTTTCACCTGTCGCCCTCCTCGGCGTGGTTCTGTAGCACCACAGGATGTTGGGGAGCTCGTCGACCCAACTACCTCCTGCGGCCTGGAGGTTCTTCTTCAGCCCCTCCATAATTGTTCTGTTGGCGTTCTCGACCTGCCCGTTGCCCTGAGGATAGGCAACGGAGGAGAAACGGTGCCTCACCCCAAACTCCCGGAGGAGCTCCTGGAAAGGGGCTACCTCGAATTGGGTGCCGTTGTCTGATATAATCTCCTGGGGGACGCCAAAGCGTGTGATGATGTTCTTGTAAACAAATCTTTGGCATCTGGCCCCTGTGATGCTGGCCAAGGGCTCCGCCTCGACCCACTTGGTGAAGTAGTCGACGGCGACGATGATGTAGCGGTTATTCCCGGCGGCTCTGGGCAGGGGGCCGACCAGGTCAATTCCCCACCTGGAGAATGGAATTGCGGTGCTGACAGGGGCATAGTTGACAGCTGGCCGGCCAGGGGCCTTCTGGAGTACCTAGCATGTGGTGCACTTCCTGGCCAGGTCAGCGCAGTCGCGTGCCATCGTCGGCCAGAAGAAGCCCTGGACGACGAGACGCCGGGACATGCTGAAAGGGCCCTGGTGTGAGGAGCAGACGCCACAATGAACCTCTTCCATGGCTGTGTCGGCCTCGTCCTGGTGCAGGCATCGGAGGAGAGTGCCATTATAGGACCGTTTGTAGAGTTTGCCATCTTCGATGGTGTAGCTTGGGGCCCTGAGTTTGGCAAGTTTGGCCCTCTCCTCGTCCGGGGGCAGCTCCCCCGTTGCGATGAAGGTGGCGATGTCGGAGATCCAGTCCTCTGGTCGCTGTTGGACGCACAAGACGGGGCTGGCATGGATGCTGGACATGCTCAACTCCTCGATCTTGGCCAACTGGGAGATGTGCTCCGGGGTGTCCGAGTTGAGCTTGGAGAGGATGTCGGCTTCGGCGTTCTCGGCCCTTGGGATCTGAGTGATCTCGTGGGTTTCAAACACTTTCAGCAATTCCTCCGCCGCTTGTTTGTACTGCTTCATCCGGCCTTCCTTTGCTTCGTACGATCCCTCCACCTGGCCCACTACCAGTTTGGAGTCGCACTTGATTTTGAGGTGCTTGGCCTTGAGGCCGGCGGCGAGTCTGAGACCGGTGAGGAGGGCCTCATACTCGGCTTCGTTGTTGGATACCCTGAAGTTGAAGCGGATGGCATAGTAAGCTCTGAACCCTTCAGGGGATATGAGGACGACGCCGGCGCCGCATGATTTCGCGACCGACGAGCCGTCAGTGAACAGGGTCCACGTATCGTCCGGCTCCGGCCCGGGGTTGGCGACGGCCGTCTCCCTTGCTGTGCATTCAATGACGAAGTCGGTCCCGTCAGTCGCTGTACCTCCTTGACGTTGCGGGGCGGCTCCATGTTGATGATAGCCTGCGTCTTCTCCGGGTTTATCTCGATGCCTCTCCGGCTGACCATGTAGCCGAGGAACTTGCCACCCTGGACGCCGAAGGCGCATTTCTTGGGGTTGAGGCGGAGCCTGAACTCCTTCATAATTTCAAAGATTTCCCGGAGGTCGTCGGCGTGGGAGGTGGCCTGCCTGCTCTTGACGATCATGTCGTTGAGGTACGCCTCCATCGTCCGGCCAAGGACCGCTCTGAAGATCTTGGCCACCATCCTAGTGTAGGTGGCGCCGGAGTTTTTGAGTCTGAAGGCCATGACGAGGTAGCAAAAGATTCCCTCTGGGGTCATGAATGCCGTCTTCTCAGCGTCATCTTCATGCATGGAGATTTGGTGGTACCCTCTGAAAGCATCGAGGAATGACATCAACTCGCACCCCGCCGTCTCGTCCACCAGCTGATCAATGTTGGGGAGAGGGAACGGGTCCATGGGGCACGCCTTGTTCAGGTCAGTGTAGTCAACACACATTCTGAACGTCGGCGGTTTTTGTGCGAGGACGACGTTGGCCAACCATGTCGGGTACTTCACCTCTTTGATGTGTTTGATTGAGAGGAGCATGGCGACCTCCCCTTTGACGAAGTCCCGCCTGTCGGCGGACAAGTAGCGCCGCTTCTGTTTGACCGGCGCGGAGGCCGGATCGACGGTCAGCCGGTGAGTGATCACCTGGCGGCTGATGCCTGGCATATCGTCCGGGCCCCACGCGAAGACAACGGCGTATGACCGTAGGAAGAGGAGGATGGTGTCTCGTTGGTCCTGGGGGAGTTGCTTTCCGACCCTGAGAACCCGCTCCGGCCGGGAGGTATCCATGGGGATCTCCTCGACCTCCTCGACCGGCTCCGCATGTGGCCTCTCCTCGTCCATGGCGACGGCGGCCGTAATGGTGTCTATCCGCTGTCCTTCCCTTTCGGCCGGCCTCGTTAGCTTGAGGTAGCAAGCTCTGGCTATCCTCTGATTTCCTCTGGCGTAGCCGATGCCATCATTGGTGGGGAACTTCAAGCATAGGTGCTTCATGGAGATGATGGCCTCCAAGTCCTCCAGCGCTGGCCGGCCCAAGATCAGGTGGTGGGCGCACTG